TCTTTAATTATTGACATCTAACATACTTTACTTGACAGCAAAGAAACAAGCTGTTCGTTTATTTTAACATTTTTATTGTCAGAAAACTCTTGTAGGTAGACATGCACTAGAGGAATGTTGAAAAAAAGTACCACGAAGAGCATCGTGTTGAACGGTGCAAATTCATGACAAAGCCGCTCACCATTTTCTTCAAGTAGGGTTTCAAATGCCTCCACAAATGTCCATAGATGAGAAACAGGGATCTGAGCAGATACTGTTTGCATGCTTATAAAGAGCGGATATTCCTCTACACGAATTGCGAAATTTACCCCTGGGTTTGGATAATTTGATTTCTTAAACATTTACTGTAGATCTCATCTATTCTTTGACACCAGCAAGCAAATCCTACGAAAACTTGTTAGCTTTGACCTTATATTGAAAGATGTCAGGTAATAGTGGTAATGCAGTCTTTAATTTTTTTTTTTTTTTTTTGAATTTTCCACCAATTGAGCAAAACTTACTTATTTCCTTGAATGAACTGTTTTATGATATCAAACCTAAGGCCAGGTTGGACTTTGGAACGAACGTGTAATTCTGAAGGGTGTGGTGGCTAACAGATTAATTTGGAAATAAATAATTTGTCATCTACTGGCAAGAAAATAAATAAACTGACAATTCACTAATGGTCGTTCCCTTAGCTAATCATATTTAAATACAAGTTATATTTAATATATGCTTTTTTGAGAAAAGATTTAAGCTTTATGAAATATGATAATGAAGACCGTGTTCTCACTATGATGTTAAATTCACTTCAAACGAGTGGGCATCATTGTTAAAGCGAACTATGAGAGGATCAACAGAACACAGAATTGCACAAATACATAGTCGCCTTCTTAAATTGGATTAATTTTTGAAAAGCTATCATATTTCCAAATAAATTTAATATTGATTGTAATAACATTGTATATCCCTCTCTGTATTGAATTCAGTTTGGTCTCCTGATATAACAGTCAAGTAACGCAGGTAAACAAGGAAGATAATGTGCACTGCATAGATTACAAATTTAAATATTGCATAGGTATACCCCAATTGAAATCAAATTTGAAATGATTATTGTTTGTTTTGAAACATCTTGTAGTTTCCAAAGGTGTTGCTTCTTTAAAAAGAATTCGAGTCTTATTTCTTCAAATTTCAAGTAATGGGATTCCAGCAGAAGTATTTATTATTTCCACATAGTATTTTATGTATTTATTTACGTTGTTGTTTTCAAGATTTCATGAAAGCAGCAGCGATTTTGAAGTTAAGGAAATTTCCTTTCTCTGTGTAAGACAATGGCCAAAATATGTAAGCTGTACATGTATGTCCTTAGGAAAGGGCTACTTACACTGATATTAAATGTTATGCATGCATAAAACACGGTAGAATAAATTCCATACACCTTTCGATAATAATAAAATGATGTCATAAAACAAGGATTTCGCATAAGTATTTATGGTGTAGTTAACGCCATCGGCTTACACAACTGAAACACGGTAGATTTAATTCTACATTTTCTTTCGATAATGATAAAATGATATCATTAATCAAGGATTAGGCATTGATATTAATGATCTAGTTATCGTGTTCATATAATATTCTGCTTATTAATAAAGTTCATTTTTCACTGTAAAAAAATACAAGATTCCCCTTCTCTACATAATAATGCGTCAATTTTTATGCGATGCAGTCATGTCGACAAATGCACTGCAGTTTATAACATTATGTGCAATATTACTAACGGCGAAAATAAATTCTACTCTAAATTTGATTTACACATCATAAAAAGGGTAACCACAGAATATTACAGTGCAATCTGTCTTTGAACTATGTACCATAATTATAAATAATTGCGTCGCTACATCTTTGAGCTGTCTTATGATGGGGATAGTGTCATAAACTCTGCAATTTACATGTATTTCAAGCCACTTGTAACTTGGAATAAGGCTCTTACAAAATTCATGTGTATTGATACGAGGGTCTTGTTATAAAGCCGAGGATTTAAAAACTTATTTGATTCATTACCATTAATTGAAATTCAGCATGATCAATACGATAAGGAGAAATTTATTTTTGAAAAGTTCTCTGTAGCATGACCTAGATTACGTCAAAACGTATGACTTTTCAACACTTCATACAGCCAATTTTCATGATTAAATAAAAACTTGCTTTTTGAAATTATGGACAACTGCATCTTCCATAAAAATGAACTGAGAAATTGTTATATATATTGTGATTGGACATCAACACAACTACTTTTATACTTGACTGTCAGGTAATCAACAAAGCGATATGATGTCACAACCAATGTGTTAATATGTTACCGAGAAACCCTCCACGTTACTTATTTATATTTCATAACATAACTTACCAATTCAATCATGTTTTATAGAGGTTCGGAGAGCATTGATATAGCTGTGAAGTTATTCAGTTTAAAATCTACATTATTGTTTTTTGATATTATGAGATTGTCAACATTTTCCGTATATATATTTTAACCCGCCTTCTTCACGGCTGAAGTCAGTAACTGATTCGATTTAGGATTCTTCTCAAAAACAGTCTTAAAAACGTGTGATACATGTTCTAATGCATGTAATACAGATGAGTTTTTTATGGAAAACAGTTCGTCAGAACCATTTTTATTAGGGAATACGTTATACAAAGAGCAATCAGTTAATAGATTACATACTGATAGACCAAAATGTTACAGTTTACTTATAATATTAATTAACATTTTATAATACTAAAAAATACTAATGCTTCAGGTATATATTAGAAAGATACCGAATTACATTTATTCAGAGGATTTCGCATAGAGGTGAAGTTCGTCGTATGTGTTAGGTTGATCAAGAGCTCCAAGTTCTGCATAACGGGAGGACATAATGCTATAATTGATAAAACAGTTATATAAAATATGTCCATCTTTATATTTTACAATAGTTTTAAATTGAGTCAAATGTTTAATATCAGAATTAATACATACTTGTCTCCAATGTTAGGTTGATCTAAATATTATTTAAAAAGAAAAAGATATGCATTAAAACTTATCGTTATAAACAAAATAAAAGATTTCTGTTGTAAAGCCAGCTTAACACAAAAACTGTGTTTAAAAAAGTTCTGTAAGAAATTCCAATCCAAAAATTTTCCAATGGAGTTTTCCAGAAAAGACCCTGACATAAGAAAGTTCACAGACAGAAAGCCACTGACAAGGTCTTAGGAAGTATAAATACCTGAGATTTGTCGAAAAATAGCATGCTTGGGTGCTTGAACATTGAATTAAGGTTTGTAATGAATTCATTAAACATTTTATTTGTGACATTCTCTAAGCCTTTGTTTTATTCAATGATAATTCTAAACACGATTCTTCTATTCAGTAATGTTTTAACTCTGAAGATACTTCTTTAAGGTTTGACCTTCTTGTATGTTTTTCTCTCTCTATATATAAATATATATATATATATATATATATATATATATATATATATATATATATATAGAAAGCACAAAGAAATTCACTTTTATAAGGATACCCACTTCCGCCCCAGCCCGGGGTTGAACTCTCGACCAACGGAACCTGTCTCCTAGCAGTACAGGAACAGCGCGCTAGACCGCTCGGCTATCTAGGCAAGACAAAAAACTTGCTTTCGATGCCGATGGAATTCTCGCGGCGCTGCCCTACACTACACGGTCATTGAGAATGGAAGTGAGATACAGTTATTTAGACATTAGTTTTATTAGAGGATCGTTACCAATACACGTTGTAATGAAATTAATTTTTATTCATAAAGCACATTTTACAACAACTCTTAAACTAACATAACTGCCCTAAGTGAAGAAATATTAATATAGAAAGCACAAAGAAATTCACTTTTATAAGGATACCCACTTCCGCCCTAGCCCGGGGTTGAACTCTCGACCAACGGAACCTGTATATATATATATATATATATATATATATATATATATATATATATATATATATATATATATATATATATATATAAACCTTTTTTTATTTAAATAAAAATTCCGATCCTAGATGATATATTTTGAATTCTTAGTTGTGTATGCAAATGTTATGACCTTCAATATTGGCAACTGGAATTTCGTTCAAATTTTCCATCGGTTTGATTGTATTGACATCCGTACCTTTATCTAGAAAAAATGAAAAAGCTTGATAACTGTGAATACACGCATAAATTAATTCATTATAAAGTCACTTTTTTAAAAAAAAATGTCAACATATAAATGCTGGTTGTCAATGTTTTCAAAGTTATGTTATACCTTATCAAGAGAAAAGAGCAATTATTCAAGGATGTAATATATAACCAAAATATATTGTATACTTACGCTGATTTCTTTTCAAGATAACAAAATTTAAGACACTTCCGGTGAGAACAATAAGAACAACGACAACAGCAATTGCAACGGTCAAAGTGTAAACACCGCTACAACGGTCACACATCTGTGGCTGCAAAATTTATCAAAATTGGGGAGAAGAAATATCTTAATTATTACGTATTATATACATTGAAGTGTTTTTAAGTGCTCTTTTTCATGAGTGCTTATGCACTCTAATATAATAATAAAACAGTAGCGTATATTTTTAAAATCCAATTCAGAAAAAAAAAATAAAGCAAAAAAATTAAAATAAGGCATACATTTCGGTACAGTTTTTTTTATATTTATTTGATAGCTTACCTTAAGATAACTTTCACATACTCCTGTCACGTGATGGCATGTCCTGTTGACACATTCTGTGCTACAGGTCCTTTTACAATTTTCACCCCAATAGAATTGACTACAAGCTACATGTATCAAGAAAAAATAGGTTCATAAAGTAATAGTGGAACTTTAAAACATAGAATTACATGAACATACAAGGCAGGAAATTCAGAGAGAAAAAAATTATGTCTGAAATTTGAAAAAAAGAAATAATATTGTAATATATATGTACATGCTTTACCTTTTATACACAAGGAACCCTAGTAGCCAGAGGAACAGCCGTCTAGACAGGTACCGTTGATCTTGTGACACTTTGTATCATTAAAGCAATGGCCACAGGTTTGGTTGCAATGAACACCATAAATTCCCTCGTTACAATCTATCTTAATAAAAGGTGAAGAAAAACGAACAGTATTATAGAGCGAAATCCAAAAAAATTATACAGATATTTCTTTTATATATTCCTACATACATTTCTTATCCCTTTTTGTGGCACAAGCCCACTCTTCCACGAGGAGCGAGAGCAAAAGAATTTCAATCTGCATTAGCTGGAAAATGTTTACATATTTATATGACTACTCGTTGCCCTTCCGTTCTTGAGAAGATTTTTAAAGATATCTCTTATAGATTCACTATTAAAACTTTGATCCCTTATTGTGGCCAAACCCCATCCCTAAGGGTCATTATTTGCGCAAATCTTAATATGCTCTACATAGGGATGCTTTCATCTATTAATATGACTAATTTAGCTCTGCTATTCTTGAGAAGATTTTTTTTAAAAAAATCCTTTATATTTATATGTAAACTTTGTTCAACTTCTGTGGCCCGCCCTACCCCGGGGCCTTTGTAAAAAAAAAAAAAAACAAACAAAACAAAAAACAAAACGAAAGTATACTAATTAATGATGCTTCCACATAAATATGAAAGATAAAGGATGCGCTGTTCTTAAGACGAAGATTTTTAAAGATTTTCCCTATATATTGCTATGTAAAACTTTTGATCTCAAATGGTGGCCCCATCCTACACTCAGGGTTATGATTTGAACAGTCATTAATCTACTTGCAGATGCTTCCATATAAAATGACTAATAGTTTTGCTATTAATTCTTGAGAAGTTTTTTTCTTATATACATGTTTATATATTTCTATGTGAATCCATGATTGCCCACTGTGAATCCCTCCCCCCTCTCCCGGGGGAGGGGGGAGGGGGGTAATGCAATTTAAAAAAAAATTACTTGTATCAACACTTTGTCAAGAAACTATCATAGAACTTTTTAACTCCACTGGTGGAATGGTTCCTGAGAAGATTTTATTTAATGACACAACTTTATTTATACCTTTTCTTGACTATTTATTTGATCTGTCTTGAATCCACTACAGCCAATGATACTTTGTGACAAGTTGAATTGTAATTGACACAGTGATTCTTGAGAAGAATTAAAAAATTTGAAAAATTTTCGCACAACGACGGACAAAAACAGATGGCAATAGGTCATCTGAGTCACTTACTTGACCTTAAAAGAATACAGCTAATTGATATAGCGCCAACGATGACAATTAGGTATCTTCTTAACACACTGTATGTTCTTAGAACACTTGAGCAAAGAGTCAATGGATGTAACCCAGATAATTCCCTGCATGATTTATCATGTAATAAATATATGTATCTTTCCGATTATTATTTTATTTTTGAATCGGTTAAGGAATAACCATTCGATTCCAAGGAAGCAGATTTAGGAAATAAATAATCTGTCCTGAAAAATGTTGAATAAATCAATAATCTGTCCTTGACTTGTGCTACTTACACCGTTTCCTATCCCATCCTACCGAACCAAAAAGAGATTTCTTTTTCGGGGGGGGGGGGAGGGGGGTAGGCATTTACTTTTTTGTAAAACTTTTTTTTCGGTGAATGAGAGAACACAAATAACCTGTTTTCAGTCATCTTGAAAATAACTATTCTTTCCTTGACTTGTATGAATTATGTAATCCGATAATTTTACCATACAGCCCCCCAATCAAATTATCGTCCTTGTACAATGTCAAGATTCTCTATTTTAAATTGAAGTTGAAAGTATGTTTAATTTTTAGTACTAAGTACGCCGAGAAAGTTCAAAGCTACTGTCTTTTATCATTTGTTTGTTTGTTTGTATGTTGTTTAACGTCTCTCTCGAGAATTTTTCACTCATATGGAGACGCCACCACTTGCCGGTGAAGAGCTGCAAATTTTGTCCTATACTCGGCACTTACGGCCATTGAGCAGTGAGGGATCTTTTTCGTGCCAGCACCTACTGCGACACGGGACCTCGGTTTATACGGTCTCATCCGAAGGACCGGTCTCCACGTCCCACAGTGGGATTCGAACCCGCGACGTAAGGATCAACTCCTTACTTCGCGACTCTAGAGCTGACGCTCTAACCACTGAAGTAACGAATAAATTGCTCCTGATTTTCTTTACCCCAGATTTATTAAAGTTTTTTTTATAAGACAAATCATCTCTGTGTAAAGGTCGTCCATTAATTACATATGATCTAACGTACTCTCTTCACATCGTTTTCCTTTCCATCCTGGCTGACATCTTCCATTACATCCTCCAGTACTTCTGTTACATCCAATCACACATTCTCCAGTAAATTTGTTACAACGTCTGGGCGCTGCGCAGTTTTCACTACACTCCTGTTTACAATCTTTGCCATAGTAACCCGGGTTACACTCTGTCAAAATCATAAAAGGGAGGCAAGTAGTAGTGTAAGCATATAACAGGATACAACACATAACAGTCATTCTAAAAAAACATTCTCAAATAACAATTTTTTTACTCGCGTATAGATTTACTGTTTTATTATCTTAACTATAATTTTAAAGATCGATTTCAGCTCTAAGATTTAACAGACATACATGGTTATGTAAATATTTAGCGATTAGATATGCAGTGAAAGAATTAATATGAACAAAATACAATGTTTAAATCGAATTCTACTGCAAATGCTATGTCGCTTCACCAATTAACACATTTCAAGACGAAATTTTCAGCTATATAAGCTCTCCAAATAAATTACATGGAATATTACGGAGTTTTTTTCCCATAGAAAAAGAAACCACGTCTCTATATGAGCTAAAATTCTGGAATGGGACGTAAAACAACATACAATCAATCTTAATAATTAACGTCCTTAAAGATATGTTTTTAAACTTAATGAAGCATTCATGTGAGACCTTAAAACATATTTTAGCATTTTAAATTGAACATCAGACAGCGAAAGTTCATCAAATTCAGGTTTATTTAAAAAACAATTCGTCCTGATCCAACATTAACTTCTGTAACATTACCTTAAAACCAATGGTAAATTGAAACTTTTGTACAAAGTAAACGATACCAGTTTGGTGGATATCCATTTCAAGTGCACCGATCTATTCCTCTTTGAATAATATTGTTCAATTGGCTATTTGAAACAATTATTTTTACATGTTATTTGCCCTTAATTGGTGCTTTTATCGTAGTAGAATGATGAAAAAACGAAAGATAAAACAAGTAGACTAATTGTTCTCGAACAATTAGAGGTCTTTCCACCTTCATTAAATTGCTTAAATTTTCTATATTTTACTCTGTAAAGTTAATTTTTTATGCAAAAAGATTCCAGAAATTGTTTGAAAGATAGAAAAAATGATGCTAATAATTTTGAAATGACCTTGACCTTTGACCTTCATTAAATGTTCAAGGTCAAGGGTCACATTGCAATTGACCCCATACCTCTATGACTTTTACATTTAAAGTTATAAGGGTTAATAGCAAGCACAAAGACGTTAAAGGGCGATAACTCATACAAGGGGTCTTCAGATCCTTTTGCACTGAAAAGATTGAAGTTGTGTCTAAAGACCCTGAAGACATTAGTGAAGGTTTCGTGTCTCTACGGTTTGCAGTTTCTGAGGAGTAGCGATAACAAGTTTTATTGCACATGGAGAATAACTTTTAAAGGGGTTAAGCTTAGGGGATAAGATTAAAATCTTTGAATTAGTTTTAAAAGTACATCTTAAAGATGCAAAGATATACAGTATATGTTGAAAGACAAAAGAGCTATAAAAGAGCTTAATTTCTCATATTTGGAATGACCTTGACCTTTGACCTACATTTCAATGTCTAAGGTTAAGGAATCTAATGCAGTTGGTTCCATGTCTCTATGATTTATCGTTTTGAAAATTTTTCATTATTCGTAAACTTCAAAAACTTTTAGGGGCAATAACTACTTAAAGGGGTTGATGAATCCTTCCCACTCAAAAGGTCAGAGCGTCTACTGACTTAGTCGAAGATATTGGTGATGGATTAGTATCTCCATGGTTTACGGTTTCGGAGGAGTAGCCATAACAAGCTTTTATAGCGAAAGGGGTAATAACTCTTGGAGGGGTCAAAGTTCATATACGCAGGGTCAACTGCAAAAATCTTTTAAGGAGTACATTCTCATGGACTATAAATCTTTTCGATAAATCTTGAAACTCAAAAACACACTTGGCGGGAAAATAATAATAATAAACAGAACAATTTCAATAGGTCTTTCCACAGAAAGGTGGAAAGACCTAATAATGGCATATCGGGTCGATCAGTCTAATAGACGGCTCAGCTTCACCTCGCTGACAATGAGATTAATCAACCCGATATATTTCTGTTGACAATCAGCTACAAACCAATTACATGTAAGTTATAATGCCTATCAGATTTATATGAGCAAAAAAGATTTATCGGCCTAAAATATATATGTTTTGAATACATATGAAGATTTCAATTACTTTCCATAACATTTATTTAAAAAAAAAGAATCCCCCTTCTGCACATTTTTCATTTTTTTCATTAAGACAATGCAGCTCATTTTGACATTTGAGAACGATAGGATTTTAGTTATAATTCAACATTAAAACTTAACTGTTATCATGTTTATTTGTAAAAATTTTATCTAGTTGAACGGCAATTAACTATTCGACGAATGTTTTATTTTTTTCATTTCAATATATATCAGACACAAAATGAATACTGACGATGTAATATTAAGCTGAAGGTGTTTCTAACATTTTTATTTACCTTTGATACAGAGAAAGCCTTCGTATCCCGGAGAACAACCGCCTAAACATGTTCCGTTTCCATGGTGACACTGAGCTTCATTAAGACAATGTCCACAGCTCTGATTGCAGATAATTCCATACATTCCACCGTCACATTCTTTACATTTCGATGAAAAAAAAATAAAGATTCAAACAGTAATGTATATATTTTTTCATTTTTTTTTTGAATTTACATCTTTATCATGTATGAAAAGAATTGACAACAGAAAGAAAAGACGTATTTGATAAAATAACATTAGGCACAGATGTAACTCATGTTTCCAACTATGATAAAGGATTTTTTCTGCAAAAAGAAAATGCTTTTGAAAAAGTAGAATTTGAAATTATTTCTCCAATAACTATTAATAACACATTATGTAATTCGTTACAGTTATAATCCGTGTATTTTTCACTTTCATCTAACAAATATTTGTTTTGAGACTTTCGCAATTCTGTTTATTTTTTATAAGCTAAATGTATACTCTGAGCATTAGATTGATACAGCAATATAACATGTACAATGATCTCTTTGAATGTCTCTTGATACTTGTCTGAATTGGTACCTTTATTACATAAAGTCCCCCTCCAACCTGGCTGACAACCCATCTCACACTCCCCAGTAAACCTGTTACAACGTCTGGACACTTTACAGTGATCACTGCATTCATAAACACAGTCTTTCCCATAGTTATCCGGCAGACAGGCTTCAATATATACAGCATAATTATGAAAGACTTGACTTGGGTAAACACCTGATCATTGAGCAGGTTTCCACTATTTCTATTAATAGTGTTGTGCTTTTTTTAACTTAGACGACTGATGCATTGCATATATAGGTGGTAAGCTAATTACAAAACTGGACATTTTGTGAGTATTAATGAAGCCCGCCTACTTTATACAATAAGGAAAGTCGAACTAAATATGTAAGAAGTCAAATGCATCAGTATGAGAATGACTTTGGAACAGAAACAAAATCACGTCTGGTTATTTGTAATCTTTGTGAAAAGTATTAACTTTATGTGGTTCCCAATAAAAGTTACGGGTTTTACATAAGTTTAGCACTTCTCCTGTCATGACCTTGAACTTAAAGAAAAATGTCCCTCGGACAAGGTTTATAAACTCAATGTGAGTCAAGTTCTACTGTCAGCATATAATGTTGACAGGATACAGCACTTGACAGTCATTCTACAAGAACATGCCAAATTAACAATGTTTTATGTTGCTGACAAAGGATGACTGCAATTAAGGACATGCGAAATTTGCGATAAAATAAACTTTCAAAACAAGCATTTTCTTTTCATTACAAGAACGGTCAACATCCAATCTAGAACTTTATGTAATTACGTTTAATAAAAGTGTGTATTTACGAAGTTATAATCTGTTTTCAAAGGCAGGGGTCATCACAATTTCTTGAATCCCGTTCGATAATGAGGACGTCCACTTTTTATTGACTTCATACATAGTCAGCGCATGTTTGTCTATTGTTCTACATTTAACAGTAGTTGTATATTTGCATAAATAATGATGCGTCAAAACGAGATTAATAGACAAACATGCGCTCATGGTTAAAAATAGAAAAAAATCTGCTTCTTCTTACACTCGCTCCCTGTTGTTACCAAGGGTTGTGACATGTTGACTATTATAATGCACCACGTGATTCTTTTTTACCTAAGGTAACTTTGTGAATAGTAAAGTCCATCACGTGACTTAAAGGGTAGCATGTTTTTTTGCTAACTGGGACATTGTGTTCGAACACGTTAAGTCATCTGGTTTCATCTTATATAAAATCTGCTTTAATTACATTGCCATGCTCATATTGTTAATTTCGTTTTGAAACCTATGTCAGACGTGTATTTGTGCCAACAGAATGGATTGATTGATTGATTGTATATTGTTTTGCGTCCCATTCGAGAATTTTTCACTCATATAGAGACGTCACCATATACCGGTGAAGGGCTTCAAATTTTGACCTTTACTCGGCACTCAGGGCCATTGAGCAGTGAGGGATCTTTATCGTGCCAACGCCTGCCGTGACACGGGACCTCGGTTTTTAAGGTCTCATCCGAAGGACCCGCAACTTTCACTTCAAAGTGCCGAGCGCATGGCGAAGGAACAGTTGCTACCTATTTTTTATCGACTTAGGTCTGTAGCGGCCGAGATTCGAACTCACGACCTCCCGATCACGGAGCGAGCGCTCTACCGACTGAGCTACCGTGAACGGTCAACAGAATGGAGAGGAAGATTGGAAAGAGAGATCACGTTCTTTTTTTCAAACAAGTCATTGTTATTTATCAAATCTAAATTTAGACCCATTCTAACAATGTTAGCGCCACCTCTCATGCATACCTTATGTTCAATCAAGGGCGAGTAAGTGTAAATTCTATATATTTGGAAAGCAGCAATGACAAAAACATTGAATCATTTTATTGTATCACAGTCTTAAATTATTTTAAGATTTAAATTTGGTTCCAAATTGACGGGATTCTTTCATAAACATACAAAAGTGAAATAAGGTTTAAATATAAAAGCAACAGAAGCAACCGAAAAAGATCCAAAAACCGGCGTTAAAAGCAGTCATCCTTTACCGTTGTAATGTCTTAACTATAACTTAAACGATTTATTTCAACTCTTAAATTAAACATACAAACGTGGTTATGTAAAAGATTTAGCTATATATATGCAGAAAAAAAGTTTTGTTATGAACACAACATAAGATTTAAAACGTATTCCACTGCTAGTCGTATGTCGCTCAGCGATCCAAATAGATTGCATCGAATGTTACAGAATTTTTATCCCCAGATATAAAGAAAGCAAACCACTATTTGCGAAGAAATTTATGGATCTTCTTTCAAACAAAACTATATAATGTAGCTTAAAATTAACCAATTTCCGTAACGATTTTGTTCTACTCAAAATTTGTTTTGTTTAATGGACTTTTGAGTTTGGATATTGTTTGTTATCATTATATATTTCATTTTAAATTGCACACACAGAATGTAAATTTCACAAAGAACTAAAACTAACCTGAAAGTGTCCATGGGACCTTATATAATCGATTCTAGTTGCTTGTCAGGTAATGTAGGCCATTACATTTTAGACATAACAAAATGAATTAGACAAAAACAGTTGTCTCCCTTAACAAATTAGTTTATGTAACGGTAATTGATCAGGAATGTTTCTGTATTAAAGTTATAAATTTTTTTTTAATTATTTCATTATTTACTTATGTAAAGATTAATATCCGCGGCGACATTTTTTTTAAATTTAAAAACGGATTCATGTGAGACTTTAATTCACATATTTAATTATTCTATACTGAAAATCAGATATGCAACGATAAATTCGTAAAATTCAGGTTCATTTAAAAATATATATATCCTGTTCAAGCATTTATTTTCGAAACATTACCTTAAAACCAATGGTAAAATGAAATTATTGTCACGAGTTTACGATACCAGTTTTGGAGATAATTTTTGCAAGTGTACAGATTTATCCCTTGGTGGTTAGTGTTGTTAAACTGGTTATTTGAAACATTTTTTTTCATGTTATATACATGTACCCTGTATTAGTCTTTTTATCGTAGAATGATGGATAAACAAAAAATGAAATAATGGTATATCGGGTCGATCAGTCTGAAAAGCGGCTTGGGTTCGCTTCACTGTCTAAGAGATTTATCAACCTGATAAATATCTGTAGACAGTCATTAAGAAAACAAAAAACGTAATAATGTTTTGTTTTTTTTCATGTTATATACATGTACCCTGTATTAGTCTTTTTATCGTAGAATGATGGATAAACAAAAAATGAAATAATGGTATATCGGGTCGATCAGTCTTAAAAGCGGCTTGGGTTCGCTTCACTGTCTAAGAGATTTATCAACCTGATAAATATTTGTAGACAATCATTAAAAAACCAAAAACGTAATAATGCTTATCAGTTTTGTGTAAGAACAAACATAGGCTTTAAATATATCTGTTTTGAATACATATAAAGATGTCAATTACTTTCCATAACATTTATTAGAGAAACAATCCCACTCTAAACACATCTTTTACTACGTCATTGTAGTTCATTTCCACATTTGACATTAATATGATTTCAGTCACAACATTTAACCGTAAAAGTAACAATCTTTATTTGTGAAAATTTTATTCATTTGAACCGTAATTAACTAATCCAGTAATGCTATTTTTATTTCCATATACATCAGACACAAAATAAATAGTGATGCAGTAATATGCTGACGGTGTTCCTAATATTTCTTTTGTTTACCTCTGATACAGAGAAAGCCTTCGTATCCAGGAGAACAACCGCCTAAACATGTTCCGTTTCCATGGTGACACTGAGTGTCATAAAGACAATGGCCACAGCTCTGATTGCAGATAATTCCATACATTCCACCGTCACATTCTTTACATTTCAAGGAAAAGAAAAAAAAGATTCAAACAGTGATGTATATATTTTCATTCATTTGTATTTACATCTTTATCATATATGAATAAACTGATAAAAAAGAAAAAGGGCGTCTTTGATAAAATAACATAAGTCACATATGTAATTCATGTTTCCTTCTACGATAAAGGGTTTTTTCTACAAAAAATGCAATTGAAAAAGTATAATTTGAAAATATTTCTCCAAATACTATTATTAACAAATTACTATGTAATTAGCTACTGCTATAATCCGTGTATTTTTCACTTTCCTCTAACATATATTTGTAAAGAGAATGTTGCAATTCAGTTAATTTTTATAAGTGTCGAGCATAAGATTGTTACAGCATTACAATGATCTCTCTGAATGTCTCTTGATACTTGTATGAATTGGCACCTTTTTTACATAAACTCCCTTTCCATCCTGGCTGACAACCCATCTCACACTCCCCAGTAAACCTGTTACAACGTCTGGACACTTTACAGTGATCACTGCATTCATAAGCACAGTCTTTCCCGTAGTAACCCGGCAGACAAGCTTGAATATAAACAGCGAAAGACTTTATGTTGAGAAATAACTTATCATTGAACAGGTTTTCACTGTTTCTTTCAAAGGTGCTGTGCATTTTCATTCTTAGATGACTGATGCATCGAATATAGTTGCGGTACGCCGGCTAAGGAATGGGACGTATTTGCGAGTTGTAATGAAGATCGCCTACTCTACACTACTAGACAAACCGAAGTAAATGCACAACAACCAAAATTCATTAATATAACAATTCTTTGGGAAAAAACAAGGGCCCAACATCTAGACTTGTCATCTTTGTGAAAAGTATGAATGTTTCACCATAAGAGTTCTGGGCATTACATAAATTTGGCACTATTCTGTTGCTATTTCTTACAGAATTATGATCTAGACGCAACTTTTCTGCGTTAACTTTAATGCTCTTGAATTTAGAAAGTGAAATTGGGTCAAATCCGTAAGATATCTTCAAGACATGAGCCATACTTGTATGATGTATGAACTTACACTGTTTCGCTATTACAAAGCTATGGACAAACCATACATTTTACAATTTTTCTTGCATGAACTTTGCACTTATGATACACGCTCTAGTCACAAACAATTTTTCTATTAATTATTAGCTGCAAATTCTCCACCATTACAAGATGTGGGCTAGACAGGGACTATTTTTAAGTGACCTTGAAATTTATCAAATGACTTGAATTAAGTTTATGACATGTTTTCATGTCATTTGACACGTTCTTCGCCAGTGATATTGAGCTTTTCGGAAAGATCTTGAATCAATGTCAAAACACAATCTTGGTCATAAGCAATCCTTTTGCCAGATATAAGATTCCTGTCTTTTCCCAAGGTTTTGACCTGGATACATTTGCGTAGACAGACTGATCAATAGACGGATGGACAGATGGACAAGGGAAATTTTGAATTCCATCGAACTTCGTTTGCTGGGAATATATAAAGAAATTGTCAAAATACAGCAATAAGAGGAACAATTTTTTTTTAATTAAAGCACGTACAGAACACATTCTTATTAATTCAAATGTTATTTTCCTGACCTCTAATAAATAATGCTCACTGTCTTTATCAACTTTGATTGATTGATTGTATGTTTGTATGTTGTTTTACGACCCGTTCGAGATTTTTCCACTCATATAGAGACGTCACCATATACCGTTGAATGGCTTCAAATTTAGACCTTTACTCGGCAATGAGGGCTATTGAGCAGTGAGGGTTCTTTATCCTGCCAACGCCTAACGTGACACGGGGCCTCGGTTTTTAGGATCTCTTTAAGACCCGCAACTTTCACTTCAAAGTGCTGAGCGCTTGGCGAAAGAACAGTTGCTACCTATTTTTTTACCGATTTAGGTCCGTCGTGGCCATGATTCAAACACACGACGTTTCGATCACGGGGCGAGAGCTCTTCCGACTGAGCTACCGTGACGGTCAACTTTGAAACATAAAAACAAAATAGTTTTCTACCTTGATCACTATATACGTTTATTTCACATTAAGAAAATAAGACATGCCTAGACAGAATTTTATGGCTCTACCTTTAACACAAGGAGGTCCTTTGTATCCAAAAGAACATCCATGTAAACAAGTACCGTTGATATGGTGACAGTGAGTGTCATTTAGACAGTGTCCACATCTCTGATTACAATTATAGCCAAACATGCCATCGTCACATTCTTTTCATGTTAATAAAAAGAAAGATATGATTATTGAAAAAAGCGTTTGTTATAGTAAAGATTTATATGTATAGAGAGAGAGAGAGAGAGAGAGAGAGAGAGAGAGAGAGAGAGAGAGAGAGAGTATAATCTAGCTAGATTCTGAGAACTCCGGATTTTTTTCCATCTCAGCTTTGAATTTTAGTCCCATGTACTTCTTTTTCAAATATAAAAAAAAAAAATCTGTGTAATCTGGATACTGTCTATTTTGTATTCCGAACGGCCATATTGGTCCCAACCGCTCATAAATCCGCTCACACAATATTAACTGAGCCATTACAATGCAATTAACACCTTTCGAGATAGATGTTCGTGTTTTTACATAAGTGACATGAAACAAACTGAAACCCCGGGGTGACAAATACTTTCCAAATATGATTACAAGTGAAAACGTATAGAAATGACGCAGCATTCCTAGCAAAAATCACATACTGTCATTACCGCTTTCTAACGTGAAAAAGTATTTTTTCGTACAAACATTTTTATTCATGAAAATTAGAAAACGAAACAACTTATCTCATATCTACCTTTTGTATTCATAAAATCCATAAAAAAATCCACTTACATTTTTCGAATAATTCGTTTGTCTCAAGACGTTTTTTGCGCCTTTTCCTATTATTTATTTACGTAGAATTATGCATTACACTATCAATGCTGTACACTTTATTTCACTCTGCATAACCTAGAAGAACTCATACTTATAACAGTACATACCTTCGTCACACTTGACCCCCTTCCATCCTATTTTACAACCTCCCTCACACTCCCCGGTAAACCTGTTGCATCCTCTGGTCACTCCACAGTTTGCACTGCACTCATATCGACAGTTCTTCCCATAGTTACCTGGCTGACACGCTTTAAATATGAATTAATTAAAGTATATTATAGATCATATAAAATTCTAATTGACCACATATTTATGTGCAATTGTTTGATTTTATGACCGTCGTTTCGTTATTAAACTATTTATTTTATTATTCAAACAATTGTAAGTTAAATATTCTGGCAAGTGGGTTTTACATTTTTTGTTGATTAAAACAAGTGTAAATGGTGCGAATTAAAGGCTAAATCTTTCATTAATATGATAATAAAGCAACTTTTATTGAACTCTTGAGTGGACAGTGCATGTATGAAAATCTTAACCAAAGTAAACAGGTAAACAAATACCTTGTTCATAATCTAGAGTGTTTCAGTGTTAATCTTATACGGTACAAAATTTAATTCACCAGATGCGCATTTCGATAAAATATAAAATATGCTGTTTGTTGACACTATGAACTTTTTTGAAAAGTAGGTCAAAGTTCAAGAGTCACGAGTTCGGTAATCGTGGTCATTTACTAAAAACATAGGGCCAAGCAATATTTGTGCACAATATCAAGTCAATACCTATTACAGTTTTCGAGATTTAAGGTGTGACGGACAGACAGACGGACGGACGGATAGCCAGATGTCGGGTAAAGTGATCTCTCAAAATGAAACGTTATCAGGATGAAACCAGACAGAAATCCCTACAAAGACTTCGTCTTAAGGATCTCGTTTTGGGTCTACTGAGGTCTTCAAGATATTAAACATTTAGATAAATTCGGAGAGGTTTTAGCTGGAAAGCAGCGCTCGAAACAAATTATTCTTGTTAACTTGTTCAGAATAAAGTTGATCTTACTGGGACTTTATTATTTGTGGTCTGCCAGGTATCATCCTAAAATCATTTCGGTGTAATTAGGAATGCGATGTTATGTTTCACAACAAGACAGCAAAACTGGTTTTATGATTTACAATTATACACCTATTAGGAGTTTAACTACCAACCTAAAATATTAAAATAATTAGATCGGTAATACATGTATTTACATGCCTATAAATTCCTTTAAGAAAGAAAGGTTAATCTTGTAATTATTAAGTATATATGAAACAACCATTCATTACATAAAGGGTTCATTCCTAAACAGCAGTGAACATGAAGGAAACGATGCAGTGACAAGCATATAAAAGATTTTGAAAACACATTTTCAATCCTCTAATGGAAAATGGCATAGGGCAAACATATGCAAATAAATTACTTTGAGGAGGAGAACAGTCAATAAAAATAAAGATTCCCACACTACCAGTTCGGATCCCACAAGACAAAAGTACCCAGACAGGTTAGGGAAATCTAACTAAAAATTGTTGAAAGGTGAATGAATGCGTCTGTCATTTAGCCACCTTTCCATATATTTCATTTTATATTCTATTGACTGACTGATGCAGAATCATTTTGTGGGACTAAGGAGAGTAACATCTTGATTTCTTTGAGACTAAGCTTATGATTTTTAAATGATAAACAAACTCTTAATAGGAAAAAAGCTTAACGCATATAGTAAAGAACTATTTCTTACCTTTTAGACAAAGTTCTCCCCGCGCTCCCGCATTACAACCATTCAAACACGTGCCGTTGACATGGTGACAGGTTTCTCCGTCACTACAGTTACCACATGATAGAGAACACTCCAAGCCGTATGTTTGTTTGTCACACACTGAATGAAAAAGGTTAAGATAACAGTGACAGATTTTCTTGATTGATTGATTGTATGTTCTTTTACATCAAAACGTAAAATGTTTCACCCATATAGAGACGTCACCATAATACCAGTGAAAGGCTTTAAATTTAGACCTATATCGGCACAGACGGCTATTGAGCAGTGAGAGTTCTTTATCGTGCCAACGCCTATCGTGACACGGGAAGTCAGTTTTTAAGGTATCATCCGTAAGACCCACCCGTGACTTTCACTTCTAGTGCAGGGCGCTTTGCGAAGGAACAGTCACTATCTTGTTTATGTCTTAGATTTTACAGGGCGTGGCAAAAAAAGTCGAACCCGGGCCATCCAGTCACGAAGCAAATGCCCTACCACTAGGCCGCCGTGACCGGTAAAAGACAACCAATAAATACAAGGCAGTGAACAGGACATTAAAAACTCAGACCAAAAGAAATTCCTGAGGAGAAATCAGACCTGCCCTGGGCCTTATGTATTGATCCAGTAGTCGTAATAATCTGCAGTCAAGTTTAAAACAATGATCTAACAATTGGTATACAGTATGTCAGTCGAAATATGACCCAGTTAACAGTGTTACTTGCTCTATTACAAGGTAATTATAACGACCGTAGAATTTCTGAAATGCTGAATTTAATTAAGAAATAAACAACAATGTTAAAAAGTTCTCTGGGATATGAACTTGGTTGGTCACGTGATCAAATCCTGTGAAGCCCGAAGGGCGTCTCAGAAGATTTGATCACGTAACCAACCAAGTTCATTTCCCAGTGAACTTTTTAACATTGTTGTTTATTACTTTTATTTACATTTGAAACGAATATTCTGAATAGAACTGCATTTATTACACGAACGGCCCGCCGTATTGCTATGTTGTGACGCGCAATGACCTACAAGCTGTTTGGTCTTGAGAGTTCGCCTCGCTCCAACATTTGAATACTTACATTGATGTTCAGCAGTCCAGTTCAGGAAATATCTGTACGTAATGAAAAAAATAATGATCGCTACTGAGAATAATCTTGCTATTATTGTATGAATTCTTTATACATGAAGTCAAAAGCGGTGGTATCGTCTTCAGTTTACATACCTTCAAAGGAATTTCGGGTTAAAAAGGTAAGCGTGATTGTAGGATAATTAAAAACATTCTTCACACCGAAGAAAGAACTAGTGATCATTTGTTGAATGAAAAAAAAAACATATATGTTTCAATAATTTTATCTTTTTTCATCGCTTTAACGGCTTAGAAGTTCCGAAACCAGTGTCACCGGGACAGAAATATGTAGACATGATATCACCTCGCTGTGTGATTCGGTCACGCCATGACCTCTGACCCCCTAATAAGTTCATACAGAATTGAACATATTGTCTCTTCAATAGGTTCATCTAAGAAAAAATATTTGCAAATGTAAATAATAGAGGTTGTTGGATTTATTGTAAGACTATATTTACTATTTGTCAGTAGCCTGCCTCGCTTTAAAAATTAATCGTTCTCAAAGCATGCTCTTGAGAATCAAATAAGATGGGTGACATAAAACACCGAATTTGGGTGATAGAGGAATTTTACTACATAGTTAAGGTAAGTTGACGATAGAAAAGCTTAAGTCATCTCATTTTTCATAGTTTTCGTCTGCAGTCAGTAAAAATTCCGAGTATGAAACAGATGGGCCATACTCTGCGATGTCAATTATTTTCTAGTTCGAGTTCACTGGGATCTAGAAGTAACTCTGGTTAATTGTTTCAAGGTAAAGTGAATGTAGAGTTGATCCCCACAAGTGCTTTCTCCTTCTTATGTAAAGGATTCGAATAATTTCTTAGTGCGGAATGAGAAACTCCGACTTCCTTTTAATTTCAACTTTAGGGTGCATTTTTATTAGAAGTATATGATACATGTATCATAAACCCTTTTTATTAATTTTTGCGAGGAAAGGTTTCAAAAAGTTTTTTATCTTACTAGCTCTGGGGTAAAAAATTATTTTAAAATATCCAAAAAGTTCCTTGACGTTTCGAGAATACACAATGGATTTACACCACATCTCGAATATGCAAGGAACATCTGCATATGATCTTTACAGCAGTTAAAATTTTAGAATAGAGTAAGGATAGGGGGTTGGTAGAACTTTTCCTGTATGGTCCCGGCAATATATCTTTGTTTGTGAGAATTCTAATGAAGTTAAGAAATCCAGAAGTCATTTTCGTTGATAGGGATGTTATAACTATTAAAGACTGAAAGGTGATTTCTAGGAATTTCATCCTAAGAAAGTGTACTATGGGGATTTCGAAATGTAGAATTAAAGCTTCCTCTTGAAAACAGTTGTAGTAATACACAGCTGTGGCCTTCAATTCGACATTCAGATATATCGATGATGATTTATCGATTAACAGTACTTATTTTCATTCGTATGTCGACTCGATATATCCCAGTGAACTTGAAATAAAAGATACCACAGAGTCTGCCATATCTGTTTCATATTTGGATGTTTTACTGAATAAGGGCAATTAACATACGAATGATAAAGGGCAATTACAACTGAACTGTATAACAAACGAGATGACCTAAGCTTTTCCATCGTCAACTTTCCTTATTTATGTAGTCATATTCCACTATCATCTGCTTATAATGTCTCCCAGCATATTCGTTATTTAAGAGCTTGCTCTGAGTACGATAAATTTTTAAAGCGAGGTAGGCTACTGACTGATAAGTTGATGTTAGTTGTATTTCAACAGCCTCGTTTAAAGTCAACATTTTCTAAATTTAATGGTCCTTATAATGATATGATTATAATTTATTTTAGATGCTCAATACCTAAGCACTGTTAATTAAGTTTAATTGAAAAGTGTAGAAGCAACAAAGCAACACCTGGAAAATATCTATAGAAAATATAGGGTGTAGAATTCAACTTGAAATATGATGGAATGCAAGAATTTTTTTATGATGAAGTTCACAGTACCTATTATTTCGTTGGTAAATGTAAGTTTAAGAATTGACTTTTGGAATGTGAATTTTTTCCGACGTTTTGCACGTGATGGCTTAAGGAGTCTGTGCTGACCAACACCAATAATTGCAAACACTAGTTTGTCTTCTGACATTAAAAAAACAAAGTATGGACTTGCTTTAGCATCTTCGAATAGGCCATCCAAAAGTTTCCAGGAAATCGAGTAAAGCTAAGTGTAAATGTCATAAAGGCCTAATTGTTTATTGATGCAAAATGTAAGTGAATGTATATATTTGGCTCATTGTATGATCAATGTCCATGACTACGCCTACATCTAGGTGCATTGTTTTCATCACATTCACTTTTCTTCCTCAATATAAATCAATCCTTATACAGGAATGGCAAAACATCTCTATGCTACATGTACATAACTTAAATATATACGAAATAAAAAAAATAAAGATTGCCCTGACAGTGCCTACAATGTTATTTGTTCTGTTTGTTTATTGTTTAACGTCCTTCTCGAGAATTTTTTTACTCATATGGAGACACCACCGTTTGCCGGCGGAGAGCTGCAAATTTTGACCTATACTCGGCACTCAGGGCCATTGAGCAGTGAGGGATCTACTGCGACACGGAACCTCAGTTTAAACGGTCTCTACCGAAGGACCGGTTTCGACGTCCCACAGTGGAATTCGTAAGGATCAACTCTTACTCAGCGACTGTAGAGCGAACTCTCTAACCACTGCGCCACGCGGGCGACCCTACAATGTTAGTGTTAGTTTATTTACAAATGACTTACATCTATCACACCAAAGGCCCCGATATCCCGGTATACAGCCAAAACAGTTTCCTGTTGCGATATTACATCTTCCCTCTTGGCAGTTTTCCGAACACTGAGGATTACAATTTTCCGGATAGAGTCCTGGATTACCACATCCTTTTGTTCAGAAAGTAAATAACAACTTACTGGACATTTTTTTATTCATTATTAACATGAAGTATGGGGATATCGATCAGTAATCAAGCGCAAAAGTCCATTTAAACGATAGGTATACATATGTACAAAGTTAAAGTTTAAATAAAAATATTGTAAACCTTAAAAAAAACATTAAAAAGTTTTTGAAAAGTTAAAGTATCAAAACTGCATATCTAAAACTCACCATATATCTGCAATTCACACACTTCACTGTATGCGTATTTAGAATAGTAAGCCGGATATACATCACCATATCTCCGTTCATTGTAGTATATGAAATATCGTCCATAAACAGGACAGTTTATTGTTTGATTTGCTAACGGAGTCCCATTTATATCTTGTTTCTCATGGAAACAAAGATAACCGTCTTCTTTGACTGTAGTATTTGACACATAAATAAAAAACCCAGCAAAGCGACCATAATAGGCACCAGGACCTATTTGAAACAGAATTATGTACTTAAAATCAAACTACACAAATCAGGTTTGGCCGGGAAATACCAGTGGTAAATGCCGGTATTTCCCGTCCTGGGAAATACTACAAATTTTCTCTAAACTGGGAAATATTGGGAAATACTGGGAAATACAAAGTTAAAGTTTTTTTATTTCTTTAATTCATTCAATCTTATACAAAATTCAAAAATAAAATAAACATAAAAACAGAAGATGAATAATATGGAAAATGTCTCAAATTGCAATTTAACATATTCATAATGTATCACTACTCCAGGTCCCATACCCATAAGCATTCTGAAACATTTCCTTTGCTGTATAGAACTGAAGTTTTCCAATTCAAGTTTCTTATCATTCTGTAACACTATTAAGTTTATTAATTATAAATCCAAGAACAAAAAATGTTTTAAACAGTGCGACATTTAACTCCGGACACGACATTTGTCCGGACTTTCGCCAACCACTTTTATAAAGATACATGTGAACCATTTATGTCATCTGATGGAATTTTTTAAAACTTAACACATGAACCAAAATTTTCACCTGATTATCTTCTAGGTAAAAAGATATTCTACCTGTAATCAGGAAATCCCATAGGATAATGGTGGGATTTCTTCTCTTAACCAATATCCCACCATTATCCTAAGGGGAGAAAGGGTATCATGTGGGATTTTTTCTCCCATAGAAGTTTGAAAATCCCATTAATTCTTTATAATGGAACAAAATCTCCCATATACTTCAATATAGGAGATAATCTCCCATCTTTTTATAAATATGGGATGTATCCCATATTCATAAAAAAATGGTCAAATTTTCTCCCATGGGATAAAGAAACAACAGTTTTAACCCAAATAAAGAAACAAGTCATTTATTGAACAGTTTAACTATCATTTATTTTGATTAAAGTTTTGTGTTTCCTAAACCATTTTTTTTATTTCTTAAATTTAAACAATTTGGGGTAATGTTTAAAAAAATCCAATATAATTAAAGATTATAATAGCACTAAAAATCAAAAATTCTTTTATGATAATTCTCTATGACACTGAGTTTTCAAGTAAAAAAAAATTCCTCTGTATCAAGACTACATTACCATGATTACCTTATTTTGTTAAATACCACAAATTTGAATGGGAAAGTAGAAAGTATGTAAGAAAGAAGAAATTACTGCTTTGTTTATCCCCCCCTCTAAACATTTACCTAAGATAGGTTAATTTATTGCATACCGGATAAATGTCATTTGTCAAGTTTCACAACACGATCAAATCCATGCACGTTGTTCTACTTTGCTACACTAAATTATAAGCTGAAAAATCACATGGAATTGGATTGTATCAGTTACTCAGAGTTTCTAAGAAAGTATAAAAACTTATTCAATTGCACAAGCTGTAATAATTTACCACATTTTCACTTTTAATTTTCTTTGTAACATGACTTGCTCCAAAGACAGCTGAAAATTATTTTATACACAACGAACCCGATCAAATGAACAGAAAATAATGTTGAAAACAATCTAACCGTCTTCATTATGCACATTTACTCGTAGTTTGCATTAAAAAAAAATATTTGACACCTTTTTAACTAATTTTATAACTGTTTATATTAATCTTACAATCATAAGAATTTTGAACAGTGAACCCTTTCAAAAATAAACATGATGAAAGGGCATGGATCCAGAAATATTTGCGGTGGTACTCTAATTGTTTCATTATACAGTAGAAAAAAAGTTTTCCTTGGTTGTGTTACTTCTTAAATAATAGTAACTGCTGATCTTTTATTTTTCTTTGGTACCTATAATACAATACCTATCGGCTTGGCCAAGATCAGGTGCCCATTTCCAACTAAATGCTGTTATATAGATGAAACTCTTTATAGTTACATCTAATCTAAATGTCTTTTGTTGCATTGCAAAGAGCAGAATGAGAGCTTTCCATTGGTATATAATATCATATATATAGTATCTGCGTCTTTGAAAAAACAACAGAATAAAGTCACAGATTCATAATTTTTGAAGCGTTATGCTGTTGCACTTGATTTTTTACATTTTGAAAAATGGTTAATTAAAATTATTTTGAATGAAACATTTAAAAATAAATATACTTACTTATAGAAAAATCACTCTGGTTTAGTTTGTTTTTTACAGAAAAGAAAAAGGATAAAAATTGTGGAAATTATGAATAAATGTGTTCAGATATACCTTTGTTATATAATTTAAGATTTCATGAAAGAAATTTCAATGTTGGAATAAATGCATAATTTTTAGCAAAAAAAGAGCAAATATAATGTGTTTAAATTTTGTTTATCTTACTTAAGAAAAAAGTACTATGAGAAAAATATGGTGGTTATATGGTAAAATGTGTGCACATTTTGTAATTTTTTCCCATATACTGGTCAAAGTTTTTGTATAGTCCGTAGCCCCATATTTCATTATAGTTTGTGTTCAACAAAAGAATGTATAATTAATCATGCTCTTGTTTGATATTTTCACAGTTACCAGTCAAATAAAAAAACAGTAATGAATAGCTTTTGCGCTAACATCAAAAGAAGTTATTAAAGAATAATTGGTGTCCGTAGCCCTGTATAGTCCGTAGCCCTAATATAAAAGCTTCCAGAAAAAGTCATATACATTATTGATACAATAACTACAATACAATAATATCTTTATTCAAACAAATGCAATGTTTTTAAATACAAATACCACTGTAATTAAAGATGAGATGTCTGAAAATTAATATTTTTCAACTAAAGGCTTGCTTCTGTAGTCTGTCCTGTTATGTTTGTGGTCACAACATATTTTTAAATATACATGAACAAGTTTCCCTTCTTGTGATACATACTGTCAATCCATTTAGAATAATTTGCATTGTAATATTTTTAAAAGGATATTTGACCACAAAAATCCTACTTACAAAAGGGCTACGGACTCTACAAATGAATTTAGCAAATTTACAGACCATATAGCCGTACTTCTGTATTAGCAAGATTTTTTTTCCTGCCTGCATCTACTGCAAAATTGGGCTTCAATGGTTTATTACTTCTCATCAACCAGTCTTAACATCCCATAGTGGGATTTGATCCCAAAACATAAGGATCAACTCCTTACTTTGCAATTTAGTACAAAGTGAGACCTTCACTCTTACAATTTTGCCACTCAATCTACTTGTCACTGAATTGTTAATTTAAAAAAAGCATTGATTCTTGATGGATAAATATTGTACTAATCATGTTTTTACTTCAAATCATATTTTGTAACTTTTTTATGAATTACACCATATGATCATAAGATATTATATACCAATATACCTTTTGAATGAACACCTTGAGCTCCATGTATTACATTAAAATTAAAAAAAAAATGAAGCAATATAGTCTGTAACCCCCCCCCCCCCCTCCTAAAAAAAATCATGCCTTGATTTAAATACAGCTCCTTTTGCTTTTATTTATTATAGTTTGAACCTCAATAATGCATTAATTAGTTGATCTGGAATTTCATTTGGCATTGAAAGTACACAATACATTAGACAATTAATTTTTAAATACTCAAACTCAGGAGCGTGAACTTTTACAGAATGCAAAATAATAATAAAAAAAAAATGCCCAAAATTTAATTATTCAATTATATTTTCTTTAAGTTGATTGTCCACAATAGAGATGTTTAACGGTATAGTCCGTAGCCCCAGTGCTCACATGAAATCCAGCCATCACAGATGCTAAATTAAAGCCCATTCTTGGTCTCCAGATGGTCTTGAACTATATTTTGTTATCAAAACACCAATTACATGTAATTCTGACATGTATTATTTTGTTCTGACAATTTATATTTTACTCGTATTTTGAATTTATTTGAAGTTTTTCGTTTTATTTTGTAAAATTTCACGGGATTTTTGTATAAATTGATTTAATATCCAAATGAAATGATTTATTAAACACGTGTGAACTCCATGATGACACTTTTAACAAATATTTACTGATACAAACAGGTATTTTTCTATGGTCTCTCAATAAATGAAAAATACTATATGTATAGTCCGTAGCCCGGGGTCTCAAAATAGTCAATCAAAAAATGTTTGACACAGTTTTTCTCTGAATATTACCAAATAAGTTTGAAATTTTCATCCCCACATACAATATCTTTAGAAAAAAATGAAAGTACTTTAATGTATTTTTACTTCAGATGTCCAAATAATAAAAGTAGAAAAACTCCCAAAGATTAACAAATTTACCCATGTCCTTTATACACTGTAACATTTTAATCGAAATGACTTATGTGATTTTTCTTGCTCAGACAATGTTTTGTGAAGAGTTTGTATTTGAATTATACTTTTTTTGTTTAGTTGAATATGATAAAGATAAATGTTATGCCTGAATATGTATAGTCCGTAGCCCATTTGGGTCTCTGCTATATTAAGAGTGAAATCTTTTTAACCGCTTGACAGAAATGGACAGAAATTTCAGACAATCTGCCAAAAGGATGTAGTGTTACATAGAACATATTTGTAATACATTTCGTTTGACTTCATTTTTTTGTTAATCTGCAACCAACATGGGCACCTGATCTTGGCCAAGCCGTTATGCACCATTACTGACATGAATTCAATTGATTATAGGCAATTCATCTTAAGGCCATTGCAAGTTTCTTCTATGTTTTGCGTCAGCAGGCACCTTGGTTTTGAACACCCCGTAACACATAAAATAAGAGGTCCACTGTGAGTTAATGCTCACTGGTAATACCCTCACTCTGATGCAAATATATCCGAATAATCCTAATTGGTACCAAATTAACTCAGAGTTCAGTGGATTTATCCGGTTACTTTTGTCTGGAAGATTTTCATTTTTTTTTTCAGAAATGCATGTTGATATTAAATCATAATGATTATCATTTATAACTGTTATAATGCCCTCAATAATTGAACATTAATTAAGCCACACTACATGTATTCCCTCATTGAATAAAGGTACATGTACACATTCATTCATTTTATATTTA